ATGGGAATCCCCGAAAAAATGTTTGGAGCACCTCGCCCTAGTGCATCCAGCGGTGAGGCAGCATGCTGAAAACAAAGCGATATCTATCATTATTCATAACCAGGAGTATTGCACATTCTTCGGAAAGCACACATCATCCTTTGTACTCAGGAAGAGTCGCGATACACCCTGGTTTACCCGAAGGGCCTTAGCAGAAGCTGTGGAGTTAGAAACATACTTGTGATGACAAACGTAGAGATTTCTCAATAGGTATTTTAATTGGGGATCCTGCACTGAATTACCACACCCCACTCCTGCAAACACAATCTTAGATGTGGCAAATATTTGGAATTATATGGAAATCCAGATGTTCTCTCATATAGTACTGGAAGAGATCACTATAGACTATGTTCAGTAGATGCCAGTTATGATCTTTCACATACATTTTTAGAGAAATGCTGTATTTTTAAAAAAAAATTCAATTGATTCTAATGGTAAGTGACATTTTAGTTCAGTCACAATTACAATCAACCAGACTTACTTTTCGCATTAGTAGCAGGATATGATCCTTAAGTTCATACAGGGTTAAGTTTGTCATCCTCAGAGATTTCTTAATGACCCTTGTTATCTAAACCCCAATTCAGACTGGTGGCTGTGTATTACATTTTCAATGCACATCCTCAGACGTATTAGGACACGAAGTGAACCTGACAGGGGAAAGAATATCTCCTTCCTCCTCTGAAATGCCCCAGGAGGGTTTTCTGCAGGTGACCTCCTCAGACCTTGGCTCTACATTAGAGTTATTGTCCTGAGAGAAGATTCAGTTAAAACACCCAGTTCATTTCATATAGTGCTCTTGAGTTTATTCTTGGTGGCAGCTAACTTGTAAAATTTTATTATGGGTTCTTCTTTGGTTTATTTGATGGAAAACAATTATTCTATCATCAGGTCTAAATTATATACCTTGGTGGACCACACAATTTTGTTTCCATTACTATTTCGAGATAAAATGCTAATTTCTGCTTAAAAAGAAGTTCAAAATATCCTTCCTAACATGATATTATCAATATATTAATTTAGACCTCACACTTCTAAATGGCTGTGTTCAAATAGGTCTGACATCCTAAAATCAGCCTTATGACTTCTGAATACAACCTGTTGACTAAAATAATAACAACAGCAACAACAATGATGATGGTGTAGCAGAATGCTGGTGTCTCTTACAAGAGCAGAGCTCACTGTCATAGGCAGTACACAAATGCTTGGTAAGAGTTCATTTATGCTTGAAACTGCTTATACTATTATCAGACAGAAAAACATAGTGCAGAATAGTCCTACCCTAGTAAGTGAAGTTGAAGCACAGAAAAATACCAAACTTCTGCACAAATAAACTTGCTTTCTCTGGAGCAGATGCATCTCCACAGCCTTGCACTGACACCAGCTCACACCTCAGAAGGAGCAGGGACCTGTGGGTGCAGCAGGGCCCCTGCTTTACTAGCTCTGCTCTCTGAAGAGGCTGATACAGCCACCCTGCTTCCTGAGCCAGCCTATCTAGAAGTAATCAGGTATCTTTGCACTTAATTACAGAGGGTAAGTGTACCCCACATAACTCAAGAGGGTTTGAGAAGGGCTATGCTGCCACCTAGAACCAAGACTACTAAATCCCAGCTGAGAAGAGTAGCTCTAAGTCTGTTCAGGTATGGGGCTTCTTAGTCAGTGGAATTTTCTCGACAGTAGACCTGGCATTTACTTGGAGAAAAATGTCAGTGACAGCAGAGCTAAGCCCATACAATTTATTTACGTGCATGTTTTCAGATGACTGTATAGTATACCTGACCTTGAAACAGATTGCTCTACAGGGACTGTGGCAGCGAGGTATTCTTACACTACAATATAATTTTCAATGCTGTGACCCTATTCTAGTTTCATGACATCACCCTTACGCCTGCTCTAGAGTGACAACCCACCAGCTGAGGCAGGAAGCTAAAAGCCACCCTCTCTCTCCCCTGAATGCTGTGTGTTATCTAATCTACGAGAAGGTGAAGTGGATAACGAATGTACCTGAAGCCTTTCAAAACTTCACCAGTACTAGAGAAACGAACTCAACGATCTGCAAACTGCAGCAGGTGCAGTCCCTCAGAACCAAAGGTATTTTCAGAAATGGACAAGCTTGAGTTGGATGGGCCTATTTTTGAGAAAAAAAATCAAGCATTTCAGGCATTATGTGTCTCTTGTTCGTGCAGAGACATGCATTAGAAGTCTGACACACATTCAAAAACAATGAAAACTCCCCACCAATTTCACCAGGCTTTAGGTAAGGATGGTCTGTGTTTACAGGAGGTTGAGCCCAAAATATTTGTATCAAGCCTTTTCTTTTAAATCCCTGGGAAACAGGCATTTAAATTGAGGTTTACCTCTTACCCCACAAATTTGCTGCTTCCAAGTTGCTGTTTCTAGTAGAATTTTCCCTTGCAAAACAATCTGCCATCTACTGAAAAATTCACAGATATTTATAGAGTCATTATTCATATATTTGTAATATATCAAGTGAAAAAATCCAAGCAACTAGAAATATTATGCAGTTTCTTCAGTGCGCTGTACAGTCAGATTGCTCTGATGAGATGGCAGATGCAACCTAGGAAATTAAAGTAAAGCTAGTACTGTGGATTTGTATTTAGAATCTGGTTGAAAGCACAAGGAGCATTTGAAGCAGCTTTGTGCAAAGCCCATTCTCAAGGATGAATCTTGTTTTGTAACAAATATCATGGTGGGGTTGAAGTCTGTTGAAAAAACCCAGGTCTCCCAGAGGAAAATGCATGGAACATGATTTTATTTCAGGCTTAATAGAAAGTCCTAGGAAACCATTCAGTGTATTTTTTCATGCTTGCATATACACTTGAACATCAATTTGGAGGCATGCAGAACTATATGATACCATGGAAATTAACATGGTAATGAATATTAACATGATAATTAATAATACACTTAAATGTGTGTCATGCAGTTGAGTGAGCCAGGAATGAACTGAATGTATTGTACCAACTAACCCCCCACAGTTACAAGACAGAAATGAACAGCATTTTGTAATTATACACAGTGACATATTTTCTCATATCTACTGCCAAAAAAAATATCACTTTTTGGAATTAAAAGAGAGAGCAGCAAATAGAAACAGCTATGTCATCAGTAATTGCAAACATGTTTTCAGCTCCAGCTTCTGATAACTATCCAAAGACGTTCTTTTAATTGGTAAAATTGACAACTGTCCAAAAGTAAAGGGCCATGTTCACTCCTAACAAGTCAGATAAAGAAATCAGTGCCAGAGGAGTACCTAGAAAGTTTTGCAAGGAGATGGGAATTTAACAAATAAGCAGCACAACCAAAAATTAAACGGTGCTGCTTGTAAAGGGGTTTTTTAGATATTACAGGATTCTACTAACTTTGCCCCATAGGGCCAGATCAAGTCACCCATGAGAGATGGGCAACAGATTGACTTACTGTATTTAAAATATAACTACCTCTCACAGGAACACTCAGAGGACTGCTTAAGGCAAGTCTTCTCAACACAGGACTCTCTAGCTTGCAGTAAAACAAGCTGGTGAAATCCAAAACAACTTTCCAGCTGATACAGAGTCAGAGAACTTGGTTCCAGAGCTCTACAACTGAAATATGCTTTTGTAGGGCATTATTCTTGGATGCAGGTGAGATCTCAGTCCGAGACGGTGTCTCATGTTCCTCAGTGGTACTGCGAGAAGCTGATGATCCCATACACAAACCCCCACCCTGCTCACAGATGAAGTGGCTTATGTAAAAGGTCTATAAAATGATCCAAAGGCAGGCAGAGGGAGACTCTGCCAGATCTCTGCAGCCAAAAAGACGTTTCACCAGCCTGATCATGTTTGAACATTAATCCTTACTTAACAAGGATTATTGCTTGATAACATCACAGGCAAGCAGGAAAGTAAGGTCCCTACTCAGAAGTTTCTTATCTAAAGAAATTTTGTCTTTCAAGTATCATACTATACCCATGTTAAACAATGCAGCCAGAAGAAGCCCAGGGATTCTGGTCCTCATGGACTGAAAATGAATTAGGACACTGAATGCCTCTAATATTCTGAGTCTACGAAATCCAGAATCCCAAAATATCTGCAGGTCATAGTCGACATGCAGGTAATGGAAAAAAACTTCAGTGATAATAGCCTTAGTGCAAATTCCAGCTGGAGCTGACCTAGGAGATTTCTCAGCAAGAGAAATGTCTCTTTATTCACCTGGCTGAACAACCAGGTACTAAAAGCTTATATGAGCTACAAATCTCTGCCCATTTACCACACAGGTATATTCCATACATCCCATATCAATATTTTGCCATTTGCTACTGATGGTTGTGGAAGACTTATGTTGCAAGTGACTTTACATGCCCTGACCTTTAAGTTCAAAGACATCTTCATATTCTCTCTCCCTTGAAATCAGCATTTCTCCCTATAATTAGCTGTCTTCTGTCTACTGGCAGTGTTTAAGCTATTAAAAATACTATATTCAAAGAACGATTAATAAAGCTTGTTGGGGCCCAAGAGTTGCCATGGAGATAGCTTTGTGTACATTTTAAAGTATGCATAAATATGTATTTGGACAGTTGTTAAAAACATGTATAATCTTTCCCAAACACCACAGCTTTTTCCAAACAGCATAGTTTGATGGCATAATGCACATTTAAAGATTTTTTAATAGTCTGTTTTATTTATAGTTATTTACTCAATAGAGTACATGAAGCTTTCAAAACCTTTGTGGGCTATGTGTGAAGTAAGTAGGCATTCACCCAGTTTTTTAAAAACGTGTCATTTACACAGTGGATTGATCTGTAGAGGACATTACAATCAGACGCTGCAGTCAGAAAAAATAAAATATTACCTGGGGAGAATTACCATGATACTTCTATACCCACAGGGGACAATTCTGCTTTCAGGATGCCAGTGTAAATCCAAAGCATGTCCATTAAACCAATGCTCTTATGCTGGTTTTTCCTTCTTGTTAAGTGGCAGCATAATTCAACTCTTTCTGAAACACATGGAAAGTTACAGAGGAGGCAGAGCCCACTGTTAGTAAGAATTTCCAATAATTCAGTTGAAAATACAGTATGAACAAACATTTAGTAAAGGCTCTCAGAATGTCCTGTCCCTCTTTATTTTAGATGGCTTCTTTCATGTAAAACCTGAACTGAAATCTCCTTCCTCAAGTTTTACAATGTGCTCAATTCAAACATGGTAATACATGTTGGTAAAGAAAGAACCTGACGAGTAGCACACCACAAGTTCTTCAAGCATAAATTATTTTGAGACACGCTTCCCACTGAGTAGATCAGTCACAAAAATCTGGTTTGTATTTCAGTATTATCACTGCTCTGTTGGTAGTATCCTGGTCATCTCTTAACATCACACCTCAGTTTTTTCCCCCCGGCAGAGTCCTTTACAATTTGTTTTGAGATACAATGGTGCAAAGACTTCTCTAACTAGAAATGGTTACAACTGGTTTTGGTGTTGTTACTGTTGTTAAGCAAAGTTTCTTTAAATGCTCAAGCTACTCTTACGTCTTGTGCAGAAACTACCACAATAGTATCCCAGATACTATTTCATCACCAACAAAACTGGAAAATATTCAGAGCACTTAAGAGATTTGCAGAGACTCAAACCTAAGAGTGTGAAGTGCATCAAACAATTTACCACAGGCCTATCTATATATCACAGATATCAAATTCAACTCTGAATGCAAGAAGGGAAAAAGTGAGAGATATGAAATTCATATACTGTAATTAAATGGAAAACACATGCAAACTGTAGCAGAAAAATAATAGAAACATGAATCGTGTATATTGCATCTGTCTGTTATTATGGTAGGAGTGGCAATGATTAGTAGAAATAGGGTTGCAAAACGATTTCTTATATAATATCACTTCCTGTGCCCATAGGGTAACTGTAATAAAGACAACTCACCCTTAGGCAAGGGCAAAGGCAGAAAGCACAGTCCTTTCTGCTGGGAAAGAGAAGCACCCAGTTGTGCAGAAGCCTTGCCAGCCAAAGGAGGTGCCGACTTCTCATCCTTTGAAGGTACCAGCAACCAGTCTTGGAGCTGGCACACTTATTTGAGAGAAAGATACCACTGCCAGGGACCTACAGCCTAGATTATCCTAGCCAACAAGGATCTGCTTCAGAATCATCCTGCACAAGGGAGGAATTACAAGAATGCTCTAAAAGGCTTAAAATGCTGACTTCTGTGGACAGTGCTATGCAAATTCAATGGTGCATAAATGTGAACTTTTACATATACACTTAGACTGGGAACTTGCCATTACACACACATGAACAGTCCCACTGAGCACAGTGAGAATATTCCCATGCTCAGCACTATTCATGAGCATTGTGCTGTGCCTTTTTGCGTGTCAAATATAAAACACCTCTGTTAACATACAGACATGGGTGTCTCTCGGGGTCATAGAACATACATGACTTCAACAGGTAGCAGTCAGCCATTAACATGTAATGGTGATGGGCTGTGCTTTTCCTTTAAGAGTTTAACCCTGAGGTCTTCAAGAGGCAGAACTTAACACGTTGCCTAAGACCACAAGATAAACCAGTGGCAAGCTTGAGCTAGCAATCTGGGTGGAGGATCTCCCCCCTCCACCCAAGCCTGACTCACTGTAGCTCCCTGTAGTCGAAATACGAAGGGGCAAGATCTCTGTTGGTGGTTGATGCAAGCAATCAGTTTGGCTGCCTTTTGGAAGTGCTGAAATAGGAGATCTTAGTGGGGACACCTGAAGTTGGCAGCACTGAAGTTCCACATCAGGTCTTGTGTCCACCAGAAACTAGTGTGGGCTGTAGTAGATTTGACTGACGCTCTCTGTGCAGCTGCACTGACTCCCAAATAGTGCAAGAGAGAGGAAGCTAAACTGGCTTAAAACATCTCTGTCTCCTCCTGATTCCACGAGCTGCATCACTCAGGTATGTCACTGCAATGCCCAGCTGTTGCACATGTGTCCAGTCCCTACATATACGCTGCTATGAGCCCTGCTGCATAACTAACATAACATTAACTAACATAAAGCCTCCTGGATTTTTTATGCGCTGTGATGGGTTTGGAAAAGGTGAAGGGAAGAGGGTATTTTTCTGCAAACAGAATTTTTCAGAAGAGGTGTAGTCACCTTCTGCTATTACAAATACAAGAGCAATAACAATATATACAGGCCTGAGCAATAATGGAGATTCTGGCAGATATTTTTTTCCCTGTCATAAGCACACTGGGCCTAAGGCAAGGTTTTCCTCTATTTAATAAAGAAAATGGAAAGGTAGGGAGAAAAATAAAATTAAAAAAACCTGCCTTGCCTCTCAAATTACACAACCTGCTAAATATTTAGGGCATTCTTTCCCACAAACATTTCAAATAGATGATAAAGAAGTTTGTCTTCCTGACAGTTCACATCCTCTTGTGGGCCAGACTCATTCCTCTGGAAGCTCACTGAAGTCAATGATATAGCAGCAGGGATGACAGATGAAGCTCACGATCCACATTTTAGTGGTACCTATCTACCATTCATACAAATCACCTCAAGATTAAGATGCAAGTGAAGACGCTAAAGGTTCAGGTTGAGGAGACAACTAAGACAGCAGAAACAGTCTAAATTCTGTGGCAAATGTGTGTGTTTAATTCCACTCAGTCTCTTGGCTAGAAGGGAAGGGCTTGAACGATGTAACAGTAACTAACATTGTTTTTCAATATCTGCTTAGCATGACATGTATTCTTGCTGTTTGCTGGTTTTTTACACACACCCCCATCCCCCCCAGTTGTAATGAATTGCCATCATGTACTCTCATTGCATGGCTGGTTATCTTCACTGTAAAGAACAAAGAGACAAGTTCGTACAAGTGACTAGTAATGGGTCACCCTGCAAACTGCTCCTAGTTTCACAAATCATCAGTCCAAAATACTTAAGTTCTTTCGAAACACCAAGAAAACTTCTCTGGCCTTTTAAACTGGAAATAGCAAATCTGATTGCAATAACAGGCCTCAACCAATCTGAGTTTATTAGCAATTGAATTAGAATTCACCTCAAGTCCAAATGAAAATCAGTGAACAGTCATTAGATCGAGGAAAAATGAAAGCAAAGAAGACAAGAAACCATAGCTGTAATCATCCACCCAAAATTAACTTATCAGCTATCAAGCAAGTAACTGCTGTGTTAAAAGCTTTTACATGTTAGGCCACTTGTTCTTCATAATAACTAAAATACAATGCTTTAATAAAACAATTTCATTTATATTCTGATAGTCAAGCTGGCACTTAACTTGATTTGGGGCTGTTCTCAATTAAGAACTGTTTATGGTCTCCAAAATCCCTTCTTGGATGCTTCTGAGGTTCTGCACCAGCAAGAGGAGGGGAAAACTGGCAAATCATAATAGAAATGAGAGAACTGTGCTGGGGGAAAAAAAAGCAACCCCCCCCCTGGAATCTGGATTCTGAACTCAACCAAAGCCAAACTGCACTGAAATGTAAAAGCTTGGCCAGCTTCCTAAATTCTAGTATTATGATTTTTGTTTACAGTACTTATTTGCAGCACGTATTAATTTCACATTGGGTAAAACACTATTTTTAAGACAAATTTTCAATTTGCAAGGTTTTCACCTGTCATTTCCCAGTCTTATCTACCACACTGAATATTCCACATCCAACCCAGTGGGAGTTGGATCCCCAAGTCACACAGCTGCCCTTTGACAACCCTGCCTCCTCTGACAGCATTTTCACAGACACATTGGCACAGTGAGGATGAGCACGTTCCGTGTCACGCTGGCCTCCCATCACCCAAGTTGTGTCTGCAGCTGGAGGCTGCCTCGATGTCTAAGAACGTCGCTGAAGCAGAGCAGCGGGCAGCACACACCCTCTTATATCACCCTCCTCTGACTGCTTTGCAACAGGGAAAAGGTGAGGACATGACAAAGCAGCAGCAACTGTTCTTCCTTACTTCAAAAGACAATACCATGCCACTAATAATCCTTCACACTTAAGTAACAGCCAGCTTTATAAACAGTAATTAAAGATGCCTTCTGGGGTACATGCAAAGGAAACATTATTTTCGTTCTCCAAAAGGACCACATTTTCTTTAGTGACTTTTCATTAAAGAAGCCAACCTTGAGCACGAAAGGCTTAATTTTGAGGGGGACAAGCAGCTACAGGTCATATTGTATAACCTCCTAACAGTGTCTGCTAACATCAGCTAAAAGTTAAAATCTGGTATTTTCAGCAGAAAGCCTTCATTTCAGAAACTTTCTTCATACTGCTAATCAGTAATTTTGAAAGAGGGGCAAGATTCATACAGCAAAGCATTGTGAAATCTGTTAATCATTTTTACATATACATATGAAGAAAACCCCTTGCTTAATCCCCTGACATCTCATTGAGTAAACCTGCCAGGGATGAACTAAACCAGCATTCTCAGATTCACTATGTGGGCTGTTCATCTGCTTGTGCTTCTGCTCTTATTTTTAATCTTTGAACTGGCCGAGGTTTTTCCCACTCACCATTTACCTTCTCCAAAAATTAAGCCTTCTCTGAGCACTAGTTGGAAGTGAAACTGGTGACAGTTACAGCCCTACCCACTCAGAAAACCCTGTGCAACCTGGGTGAGCCCAGAGACGCCAAGTCACTGCTCTGTCTAATTACAAACCCGAGGCAGATTAACCTTTGATGACTAAATTAATCTTCTAAATAAAATGAATATGCATCAGCCTGCAAATTAGGATTAAATGCTTAGCAGAATCTTTATGTGATCAAGCAGGTTTTGTGGTGCAGATGTTAACCATTAACATGAAGCAATAAAATCGTTCTTTTTTCTTATAATAACACCTAACAATTCTAAAGCCACCTTTCATCTGAGAATCTCAAAGGGTTTCATAAACATAAGTAATTAACCCTCTCAGCATCCGAGACAAGAGCATAATAATATCCCCATCCAACAGCTGAAGAAACAGAGGCATAGCAACGTCCTAGATCACGTGCCTTGGACTGTGTGT